AAAAGGTTCCCACCCGGTGGTTCGATCTCCTCCCAACCAATGTGGGATATCACAATTCACCCCCCTTCAGGGCCCAGTGTTCTCGCTGACACTTGTTTATTTCTCCAATTGATGTGGGACCCCCACCAAATCCACCATCTTCGAGCCCAACATCCTTACTGGCACACCGGCTTGTGTCTACCCCTTCGGGGAACAGCCTCCAGTGTCTGGTTCTTATACCATTTCTAACGTCCCAAGTCCACCGCTAGCAGAGCTTATCCTCTTTGAGCTTTCCATTTCGGGCTTCCCCTCAAGGCTTTAAAAAGAGTGTGCTAGGAAAAGGTTTCCACACCTAGTGTTTCGTTCTCTTCCCCAGCCAATGTGGAATATTACATTATGAAACCCATATGAAAGACGAAGGAATAAGTGATTCTTTTTTTAAAATTGTGTTGACACAGATTATTTAAACTATGCCTACTATGATCCACTAGGATGAAAAGATAGAATAAACGTGGTGTACTAATTCTATATTGATCCGAACCAATCCATATGCTCCCATTTTCAATAAAATTCTAGCTAGAAGCATACAAACTATAATTTAAGATTATAAATTGTATCCGGTACCAAAGATTCTAGAATATATTCTCTCATAGACTTTGTAATTTATAGTTGTAATTTTTTTTAAGTTCTTTTAAAAGTTTGAAGATCGAAGGTGCTTTATCGTATAAACACTAATTAATAATTCTTTTAAACATTGTCTACAAAATTTTATTCCAATTTTGTTAAAAAAGCAAAAAGAAAACCTGTACAGTCAAAGTCAAAAGTAAAAAGAGAAGGCTGGTCCAATTGAGAATGGATACTCGCTTTGGAGGCCGGGGAATAATAGGGGGCTGAATACCATTCCGAGTTTACCGTGAAAAGCGTTGTTTTTCCATTTGCGCCGCCTCTGTCCTTCCTCCAGTAGCGTGCGCTCCGACATCCACCAGCTCAACAAGCTCGACAGCCATGGCGGCTGCTACCAAGACCCTTAAAACCAAGCTTTGCGTTATCGGAAGTGGCCCCGCTGCCCACACTGCTGCTATCTACGCCGCCCGCGCTGAGCTCAAGCCTATTCTCTTCGAAGGATGGATGGCCAACAACATTGCTCCCGGCGGCCAGCTCACTACCACAACCGACGTTGAAAACTTCCCTGGTTTTCCTGAAGGCATTCTTGGCATCGAACTCATGGACAATTGCCGCAGCCAGTCGCTTCGTTTTGGCACTCAGATCTACTCCGAGACCGTAACCAAGGTCGATTTCTCATCCAAGCCATTTAAGGTCTTTACTGATTCCATGACCGTCCTTGCCGACTCTGTGGTTGTCGCTACTGGTGCGGTTGCGAAGCGATTAACCTTTCCTGGCTCCGGCGAAGCGGATGGGTTCTGGAATCGAGGTATTTCGGCTTGCGCTGTCTGTGATGGCGCTGCGCCTCTTTTCAGAAATAAGCCCTTGGCGGTCATTGGGGGTGGAGATTCCGCCATGGAAGAAGCCAATTTCCTCACCAAGTACGGCTCCAAAGTGTATATCATCCACCGAAGAGACACCTTCAGAGCTTCCAAGATCATGCAACAGCGTGTCTCCAGCAACCCTAAAATCGAGGTGATTTGGAATTCGGTGGTTAAGGAAGCTTACGGCGACGCAAATGGACGAGCCCTGGGGGGTCTGAAGGTCCATAATCTGGTCTCCGGAAAGGTTTCTGATTTGAAGGTTTCCGGATTGTTCTTCGCTATTGGTCACGAACCAGCTACCAAATTCTTAGCTGGACAACTTCAACTCGATTCGGATGGCTATGTGCTGACGAAGCCAGGGACGACGCAGACCAGTATCCGGGGAGTCTTTGCGGCTGGTGATGTTCAGGACAAGAAGTACAGACAAGCTATCACAGCTGCTGGAACGGGTCAGTATAAAGAAAAAAATTTCCGGTTTCCACTCATTTTCCTTCTTCCTATTTTAATTCTCTTCTTACTCAAAAAGTTCTCTAATGGGCTTATACTAATTAGCAAACGTCTTCCTTTTACTATTGGCGCACAAGACATGGCCATAAGTGAGGGAAATGACTTGAGGATGGAGAGAAAACGGTGTTTGGTGTGTTAGGGGAGACTAGAAAATCAAGTGACAGGTTTTTGGGTAATATATAATTTGAGGGCATGGAATTGTATAGCTTTGCCCCAAAAAGGATCCTATTGCACCTACAAAATGCATTTATGATGTAATTGCAGCTGCGTTTCTGTTGTTATATCATTATTAGGCCTAATAGAAAAAGAAAAATCCAACATGCTTAAAGCCTTTATGCAGAACCCGAAATAAAATTGGATGAGTCTTCATGGTAAATTTATGAGTTGTGGAGCCCTGTTTTTTTTATTGGGTTTTTTGAACATGCTAATATGGTAGTGAACCTGATTCATAACAGAGAAGTAGGAGTGTTTAATTATTTTCGCGATGCATTGTTGTTATTGTTTCAGATTAGATCAGGTTAATGTTATGATCCATTAGATAAAATGATTCTAAATTTTGATGTGAAGGTTGAATGCTTGATATAGGTCAACCTTTTAGTACTCAATGACACTAAATAGCGGGTTTTCTTTCCCAATTGTCCATAGTATTTTCTTACAAGGATATGTAAATAAACGGGTCTTTGTTGAGGTGGTTTGAGTGGTCAATGGAGAGAGGTGGTTTTACTCTCGTGGTTAGCAAGAATCTGTTAGGATGGGGGAATTTTGTGGGACTAATTGAAAGCTTCCTTTAGAGGTAAAAGTCAAACGATGAAGAAATGTATAAGAGTTTGGATGAAGAATTCCTTAATGGATGAGAAGTAGGGGTAGAAATGTAACAGCCCAAGCCCACCGCTAACCGATATTGTTCTCTTTGGGCTTTCCCTTCTGAGTTTCCCCTCAAGGTTTTAAAACGCGTCTATTAGGGAGAAGTTTCAACACACTTATAAGGAATGCTTCATTCTCCTCTCCAACCGATGTGGGATCTCACAATCCACCCCTTTGGGGTCCAGCGTCCTCGCTGGCACATTGCTTGGTGCCTGGCTCTGATACCATTTATAACAGCCCAAACTCACTGCTAGCAGATATTGTTTTCTTTGGGTTTTCCCTTCCGGGGTTCCCCTCAAAGTTTTAAACTGCGAGAGGTTTTCACACCCATATAACCCTTTTAAAAATGTTTCATTCCCCTCCCCAACCAACATGAGATCTCACAGAAAACCAACCAGTAGAAACTGACTGGCAATGTGTAATTATGGTAATAGGCAGGACATTCATGAAACTTTAGTTTGACATTTGGGGTTATTAAAACCATATCGAATTTCTACTAAGCCCTACATATTTCCTAGGCCTTTGGGGTCTTTATTGCTAAAATTTATACATACCACAGTTATTGCCACAATGTGAGTATATCAGCTTCAAACCCTACACCAAGTACAACTTTTTATATAATCTTGGTTCGATATACGTCCCATTGTAGATCCCTCTTGCCTCACCCTACTCTCCAAATCTGCCTCCCAAAAAAAAAAAAAAAGTTGGCCATCCAACTTCCCATTATTTCTTAAATTTGTATTTTGATGGTAAAGTAGAGCTGGTCTTGGCTTAAAATTTGTGTCTAAGAATCATTTTGGAGTTTCCAGGTTGAACACTCCCAGGCTTGAAACAAAAACAATATTGGACAAGAATCATTTTGGCTCGTTTTAGATTTAGCCCCTTTTCCTTTTCGCCTTAAAAAATGTCCTCCTTGTACGAAAGCCATGTCTTTCTTTCACTTGCAATGCTTTCAATTTGTCCTCAATAATGGTTTTCAAGTCAAGTTGATTCCTATTGCTGGCTAAGATTTATTTCTTGAGGTGCAGGTTGCATGGCAGCATTGGATGCGGAACATTACCTCCAAGAAATTGGTTCCCAGGAGGGGAAGGGTAATTGATAATAGACTGTGCCTGGGTTTCTCAAAGTTAGTTTGAAAACAACTGTCGAAGGAGAATGCTTGTTGTGAACCCTATCATATAATTGTTGATTTGGCAAGTTTACGGGGAGGAGGGATAGATGGGAAAATATTATAGCATTTTGGAGGTCGGTCATTTATGTTGGTTGGTTTAAAAGTAAAGTACGATGAATTAACTTTTGTGTTATATCATATGCATACGCTTTAAAAGAGTTTCTAACGTGACTTGATGTTTGCTCTCTACCATCTTTGAACTTCATAGCTTAAGTGAATCATTATGTGGCTCATGCGCGTGGCATGACATGAGCAAGCTTGCAAGACGAGTGTTTTGACACTTGCTCTGAAAATATTTTCTAGGACAATGTTGGTGACACGAGTATGCTAACATGCACCTCTTTTCATAAGACGAAGGTTGTCTTATAGGGTTAGGTTTCAACATAGAATGCACCAATGACTTGATGTGAAAATAAAGGTGTTATAAAATTTACTTGTGGACCAATTCTCGATAAGTGTGTCCAAGCGAGCTACGAAGAAAAAATAACATAGCAAAGCTTGTGATGGCACGTAAACCATTAGTGATTAGATAGTTCTCGATCAACATGGTATTTGCTTGAATTGTCTTGGTAAGTGCTCGAATTATCAAGCCTATTTTGACCCAAAGAAGATTCAAGTCTCAAATCAATGCAGAAGCACAACGGTGTGTCAACGAAACCAAGATGTTGAAATGAAATAAGATGTTGCATTTTAAGAACTTTGGCCTCTAATATTGAGGCAACTTGGTTAGAGTCGATGAAAAAAAAATCTACATATAGGAGCGATGTCAAAAGAAGTATGATCTCTTTATTTATTTAACATTTTTTTTCGACTAACGTGTTTGATATAAAAAGTAAATATTACTACCGACAGAAAGGAATAAGAACTCAAATTATATTATGAAGTGTATATCTTATTATAAATACATAAAATGTGGGCGTAATCCGATTTTTCAGAAAGCAATTATAAATATAAATATTTTTGTTAAAATTTCTTAAATTTCTCCGTCTCTTATTAAATTACTGACACCGGCGGCCGTTTCTGTACAAATCTGGCCGTATCTCCTCCCGCTGTCCTACCGTCAGCCGCCCATCTATCCCAATTCGTTGACGGAAACTCCGCTCGATAAACCCTCTCTTAACGCACGCCTACACGGGTGCCACTTTCTTAATCAGGCGTTCTCTATCATCGTCCTTTCCTTACCCCGAATCTCTACAATTGTTGGGCTGATCTTTTCTGGTTATATCTCAGATTTTGGGTCAAGATGTCCAGGTAACACTCCCCTGACTTCTACTTTCTAGATTATGATGGTTCTTTGGATTCATTTTTCCAGTTCCAAACTGTTTTCATTTTGGCATTCCATTATTGTTATACCTCAATGATATGGTGAATTGGTTTGAGATTTTACTTCTATATTTTAACAGCTTCAACCATGCCCGTTGGTCTAATGATCAACCCTTGTGAATTATATATCCTGGAGGAGTGTACAGGGATGAAAAGGAGAAGTTGATAGTTTAAAACTGATTTAGAAGAAGACTATGATCATTCTAATTGATAGCGTCCTCATGCCATGTTAAGGGAAAAGGGTCATGGGTCATGGGTCTAGATGGAAATTTATGCAACTACACGTTAGTAGATATTATCCTTTTTGGGCTTTCCCTCAAAGTTTTAAAACGTGTTTACTAGGGATAGGGAGAGGTTTCCAGATATTTACAAGAAATGCTTCGTTCCTCTCTCTAACTAATGTGGGATCTCACAATCCACTTCCCTTGGGGGACTAACGCCCCTGCTGGCCCACCATCCGGTGTCATGATGGGACTTTTGCATTTGTTTATTCTTTTCTAAAAAATAAGTAGGAACCCAATAGATTTCTTTTGGGATGGAAAGGGAGAGGAAAAATATGGTCACTTGGTGAGATGATACTTCACGACTAAGCTGGTGGTATGGGTTTGTATAGGTAAGATGAGTGTAACAGCCCAAGCCCACCGCTAGCAGATATTGTCCGCTTTGGCCCATTACATATCGTCGTTAGCCTCACGGTTTTAAAATGCGTCTACTAGGGAGAGGTTTCCACACCCTTATAAGAAATATTTCGTTCCATTCTCCAACCAATATGACATCTTACAACCCTCCTCTTAGGGGCCCAACATCCTCACTGGAACACCTTCCGGTGTCTAACTCTAATACCATTTGTAATTTTTTTGTAACAGCCCAAACCCACCGCTTGCAGATATTGTCCGCCTTGGCCTGTTACGTGTCGCCGTCAGCCTCTCGGTTTTAAAACGCGTCTGTTAGGGAGAGGTTTCCACACCTTTATAAAGAATGCTTTGTTCCCATCTCCAATCACTGTGGATCTCACAATCCACCCCCTTGGGGGCCCGACGTCCTCGTTGACACACTGCCTAGTGTTTGGCTTTGATACCATTTGTAATAGTCCAAGGCCACCGCTAGTGGATACTGTCCACTTTGGGCTTCCCTTCGGGGCTTCCTTTCAAGGTTTTAAAACGCGTTTACCAGAGAGAGGTTTCCACACTCTATAAGAAATGCTTCTTTCTCCTCCACAACTGATGTGGGATCTCACAATGAGAAATGAAGCATTATTGGCTTGGTAAATATGAAGATTTTTAATTAAATGGGAGGAACTGTGGCACACAGTTATTGACAGGAAGTTTGGAGTGAAAAAGTAATTACTCATTTCATATTTTTTTTTCTTAAGAACTTAAGGCCTGAGGAATGAAGCATTGTTTACCAAGTAATATAGAGTTTTTTAATGGAATGGGAGGAACTGTGGCAAAAAAGTTATCGATTGGGCACAAGTATACAGTGAAAAAGTGGACGTGACCTTATTGCTCGTTTCATTACCTTTTCTTAAGAATTTAGACAACGAACTGGGTGGATGTGGTGAATTCTTGCTTTAGTTAGTTACTTTGATGTAAATCAGTCAAATGGGGGAGAAGGATTAACCGATATAATTTTTCTGTTTGTATGCCATTTTCTCTTCTTTGGTTGTTGTTGCTGATTGTTGTCATCATTCACGTAGTTACACATTTTTCTAATTGAATTGAAATAAATTATAGTAAAGGATTTTGAACGAACCCCAACTCATATCTATTGCTCGAAGATTCTTCAACTACACCACACCACACCTCTTCAAACTTCTAATGTCTTTGGATGTTTGTTCATGTGTGCTTTATTTGGTTCATTTATTAGAAAATAATTTGATGGTTGGGGAGTTCCAATTAAAGAAGAGTCATGGGTGAAGAATTACATCTGAATCCAATTCCTTTGGAGAGCCGACCTGGCATCCTTTTCATTGGATCCTCAAATGTTGGCAAGCGCTCCCTCCTCTCTAGTAATTCTCTTTCTCTTACACATCCAAATTCAATCTATTTCAATTCTTACTTGTTGCAGTTTATTAAGCTGATTGTTGTTATGCCTGTTGGTAGTTGGAACCATACTGACCCTGAAGTTCTCAATTACTACAGCATTATGATAATGATTGAATCGACATCTCAATTCTATCAACACCATTGAATATTCATGTTCTTTTTATAATCCTGGGTACAATCTCAGTATTTTTTTTGACGTCTTGTAAATCTGTAATGGAGAAAATTGGCCACAATTTCGTAGAAGGAAAACTTGTATTTGCTAGTTGTCTGTTCTTTTTTTCTTTATTATATAATTTTCCTTTGTGACTAATGTTGTAAAGTTAGTGGGATTAGTCTAGTTGCGTGTCTTGACATTCATGGATTATAATTAAAAAAAAAAGCATAATACTTGGTAGTTCGTGTTAGGAATAACAATTCTCCACAATGGTATGATATTGTCCATTTTGAGCATAAACTCTCGTGGTTTTGCTTTGGGTTTCCCCCAAAAGGTCTCATACCAATGGAGATGTATTCTTTACTTATAAACCCACGATCATTTCCTAAATTAGCCAATGTGGGACTCCCTCCCAACAATTTTCAACAATCCTCCCCTCGATCAAAGTACACCATATAGCCTCCGTGAGGCCTATGGAGCCCTTGAACAACCTTCCCTTAATCAAGGCTTGACTCTTTATCTGGAGCCTTTGAACGAAGTACACCCTTTGTTCGACACTTTAGTCAATTTTGACTACACCTTCGAGGCTCACAGTTCTTTGTTCGACATTTGAGGATTCTATTGACATGACTAAGTTTAGGGCATGGGTTTGATACCATGTTAGTAATAACGACTCCCCATAATGGTATGAAATTGTCCATTTTGAGCATAAGCTCTCATGGCTTTGCTTTTGGACTTCCCCAAAAGGCCTCATACCATACCAATGGAGATGCATTCCTTACTTATAAACCCACGATCATTCCCTAAATTAGCCAATATGGGATTCCCTCCCAACAATCCTCAACCGTTCGCATAAGAGAAACTGATCATTCTCAATACCCAATATCTTTCTGAAATTGTAGGATTACTCACTGTGGACTTTGAAGATGCTCTGAACTCATCCTCTCAAATTTCGGTCCATGGGTAAGTGAGTAAAAGAAAATTCATTTTTCTTCTCCCAGGTATCAAAATGAAAATTAGGTTGCTTGATGTAAATTTGAGCTCAAAGTCGGTTTCTTTTTCCTTGGCAACCAGTTGGACTATCAATACGCAATATTACACAGCCGATGTGTCGGTATCAGTGGCTCATTTGCACGAGGAATTTTCCTTTGAGGCGTTGCCTATGTTCAATCAGTTGGCTGCCTTAGTCATGGTCTTTGACCTGAATGATGTTAGTCAACTCTATTTGCATCATTTCATTTTGTTTCTTCTTTAATTTCACGTGAATATTGTGATAATCGATGTCATATGTTCTTATGCCTGCTATTATTTTTGTCTTTGCAGCTTTCATCTCTTGTGACCCTTCAGGATTGGGTCGCTCATGTTGATGTACAAAAATTTGATGTATTATTATGCATAGGAAATAAAGTAGATGTTGTTCCAGGTCATCCAGTTCATATTGAGTACAGAAAACTTGTGCAAAAGCAGAGACATAAAGACTCCTCTATAGATTATTCAGATACAGGCGAATATGGAATTTCTGAAATTGAAGGAAGTAGTTTATTGGGAGACGAAGATTCCTCTTGGGAAACTAGGAGGTCATGTTTGGAGTGGTGCATTGAACGCAATATTGAGTTCATCGAGGCTTGTGCGTCTAATGCAGATTTTGATAAATGTAAGATCCTTGCCTTACCCTTGACTTGGATGCTGTATGTATATGCTTGTTTGCTTTTATTATGGTTTTCTTTAACCTGATAAGTTTTGTGATATCTCACATTGGTTGAGGAGGAGAACGGAACACCCTTTATAAGGGTGTGAAAACCTTTCCCCAGCAGACGCGTTTTAAAGCCTTGAGGGGAATCCCGTCAGGGAAAGTTCGAAGAGGACAATATCTGCTAGCGGTGGGCTTGGACCATTTCAAATGGTATCAGAGCCAAACACTAGGTGATGTGCCAGTGAGGAGGCTGTTCCTCAAAGGGGGTAGACACGAGGCGGTGTGCCCAATAAGGATGCTGGGCTCCGAAGGGGGTGGATTTGGTGGGGGTTCCACGTTGATTGGAGAAAGGAATAAGTGCCAACGAGGACGCTGGGACCTGAATAGTGGAGGTGGATTGTGATATCCCACATTGGTTGGGGAGGCGAACGAAACACCCTTTATAAAGGTGTGGAAACCTTCTCCTAGCAAACACGTTTTAAAGCCTTGAGGGGAAGCCCGAAAGGGAAAGCCTAAAGAGGACAGTATTGGTTAGCGGTGGTTTGGGCCGTTACATTACGAAGGTGAGATAAAATGGACAGTAAAAGACAGTAATATTAACCATATTGCTTCCTCTTTACATGAATTCAGTGTCACGTTCATTCTTGAATTTATTCTTCTTCATCCTTTTCTTTCTTCTATTTTTAAAAAAAATGACATGTACTATTATCTACAGGTTTATCAATTGATGGTGATATACAAGGAGTTCAAAGGCTCTATGGTGCTCTTTCTGCTCATATGTGGCCTGGAATGATTCTAAAAACTGGAGATAAGATTACCAACCCATCATTTCCGAAAGAAGAAGGTTTTTCTTCTTTTTTCTTTTGCATTCATTATTTCATCTGTCACTTTAAATTTTAAGTGTATGCCTTCTTTGTTTTATCCCATCAGAATTGTCAGAAGAAGAATCTGACTTTGAAATTGACTACGAAATACTATCTGGGGGTTCAGCTGAGATGTGGGATGACATTAGTTTCAAAGGTTGCTCGTCGAACGGAGAAGGTTCGTCCATAGATGCCAGAGCTCTTGGAAACGATGTTGATATTGCCGAGCAAGATCAAGCTAGTCAAAGTATCTGTGAGCCACCCAAGGCTGAAGAAAACCATGTGGCTGTCGATGAAGAACTCGATCAAATGACGAATCCATTCGTTGGAAAACATCTTGACCTCGAGGATTTAGAGCGGTTGATGTCTGAGATAGGGAACATGCGCGACAGCTTGAGGTTGATGCCTGATTTTCAAAGGAGAGAAATGGCTGCAATGTTGGCCCTGAAAATGGCCACCATGTTTGGAGCCAGTAGTGAAGATGATGATGAGGAAACTAGTTGACAAGAACAAATTGGTCCATTCCTTTAGTCAATTGGTCTGCTTGAACATTTAAATTTTGACTCTCAGCTATGGCTACCAAGCTTATTTATTTCAGTGGTGCAGGCTTTATCAATGATAACTCATCTCCTTGTCTAGGTGTATCAACATCAATCGATTCGATAGTTGATACTTGTGTAGGTGTTGCCAATAGATCTCCCTCGTAATAAGACGACTTGAGGTCCTCATACGTAGGCACACGTATGGAGTGTTTTGTAGTTTTAAACCATCGCAACGAGCGTCAAAAGGAGCATAGAGGTGCATCATTTGAACTACCTCCAAGTGTTTTAATCATTGAGGCTTGTCGAACTTTCTGTAATGGCCCAGACCCACCATTAGTAGATATTGTCCTCTTTGGGTTTTCTCTTACCGGTTTCCTTAAAATGCGTTTGCTAGGGGAAGGTTTCCACACCCTTATAAATGGTGTTTCGCACCCTTATAAATGGTGTTTCGTTCTCCTCCCCAACCAACATGGGATATCACAGTATCATGTCATTTCTTGAATGTCTTTGATGTCTGTTCGTCAAAGATGGACTGACCTCTTCATACCTTATCCCATCTACATTGATTCATAAACGCCCATCAAAGAACCGACCAATCTGCTTCGCAACAGTGTGTTCGAGTCGGAAGGGGTAGGCAAAGTGAAGATACATGTGTACCTAAGTTACAAGGGCGTGTATCGGAAACGTGACATAGCTGCACAGAGATAATGCTGCTACCCTACAAAAGCATTAGCTAGTCAAGTTAATCAAAGCGTTCATATCATACCAATGGAAGAGAGGTTTATAAATCAAATTTTATCAAACTATTGGTCAAGTCTGTTGATCATAAGGTAATTGGACCCTCCCCCTCTTGAGATGTCTCTCAACCCCTAATTCACTAACCAAGATAATGTCTATCCTCCGTTCTCACTGGCACACCGTCAGGTGCCTAGCTCTGATACCATTTGAAATAACTCAAGCCACTACTTGCAGATATTGTTCGCTTTAGTTGGTTACGTATCGCTGTCAGTCTCATAGTTCAACCGATGTGAGATCTCACAATCCACTGTTGGGAACCACGACCCTCCAAATGATATGATATTGTCTACTTTGAGTATAAGCTCTCGTGGTTTTGCTCTTGGTTTACCCAAAAGGTCTCATACCAATGGAGATAGTATTCCTTAGTTATAAATTCACGATCATCTTTTTAATTAGTCAATGTGGGACCCTTTCCCAACAATCCTCCCCTCAAACAAAGTCCATTAGAGAACTTCCCCTGAGGCTTGTAGGGCCCTTAAACAACCTCCCTTTAATAGAGGCTTGACTCCTTTCCATGAAGTTAACGAACAAGGTACACCATTTGTTGACACTTTACTGACTTTTGACTACACCTTCAAGACTCACAATTTCTTTGTTCGACATTGGAAGATTCTATTGACATGACTAAGTTAAGGGTATGACTCTAATACCATGTTAGGAAGAGCAACGATGTAAATAATTATAGTAATAATGTACTCTTTCACCGTTATTCATTTTATTTATGTAAATTGTAGCTTTCAAAACCAAAATACACCAATTATTGATGGATGGATTTTATAAGTTCATATAATTTTACAGTGACGCCATTCATTTATTATTCCTATTATTATCGTTTGAAAAAAAAAAGTTGTTTATTTATTTATTTATGGGTAAAATATGATGTTTAGTTTGAAGTTAAGAATAGAGTTGTTTATGGGTGAAACGAGGATGAGTAAACTTTTTCTATCCCACGTTCCCTCGTCTTTTATTTCATTTATTTTGATAAAGATGGATTTACTGTGATTTTTTTTAATTTAATAAGTTTAAACAAAATATTTGTTTCAAAAAACTTTTTAATAGATATATATTCTTTTATACCCAAATTTAAATATTACCATATAATCTTTTATATTTATTATAAAAGAAATATATAATAAGTATAAGTATATATATATATAAATAAAGTGATGGAGATTGGAAAAGTGGGTGAGGTTGGAGGAGAAGATGGAAATGAAGATTATAACTATCATCTTTGACTCGGTTTAGCTGACCAGGAGAAATTACTCATTTCTCTCCAATTTATAGGTCATGCTTGTTAAATAAACGTTCACGAGTAGAATGAAGGTCTTCAAAAATAAAAATAAAAAATATTTTACAAAAATGCAAGATTTTATTTTATTTTATTCTATTCTTTATTCTTAATTCATTATTTATTATTAGTATTACCACTATTAACATTTACTTTTTGAGCTTAAAAAGAAAAGGCAAGTGGGAAAGGGAGAACATGTTGAAAGGAAAAAAGTAAGATTTGAAAAAGAAATAAAGAAAATTATATTAATTTATTTTAAAGTAGAATAAATTTATAAATATGAAATAATTAACCAGCAAAACATCACAACTCTAAACTTCTAAACTTCAATCAAGTTCACGACTAATTGATATTGTCTTTTTTAGACTTTTCTTTTCGAATTTTTACTCAATTTTTTTATTAAAAAAGTACTCGTTATTTTCTTTAATCGATGTGGGACTCTCACCAAATCCACTCCTATGGGGCCAATGTTATTATTAGAACACCGTCTCGTATCCCCTTTTGGGGAACAACCTCCTTGATGGCACATCGTCCCATATCTGACTCTGATATCATTTGTAACAGCTCAAGGTTTTTCAAACGTGTCGGTTAGGAAAAAGTTTTCACACTCTCCTTTCCAACCACGTGGGATCCCACAAACGGGTTGTTTAATTGGATGATTAAATTAGGAGGTTTGAAAATAATATATTTGAAAATTAGATAAATGTATTTGATGTTGCACAAGAATGTTGTAGTGGAATGTTTGAAGTAAATAAATAATATTCTTATTTAATTAGTTTTTTATATGCTGTAAAATTCGTGAATTTTTAATTATTCATTTCCGGCCTCTCCAACCAATTTGGATTCCACCTTATCAGGCTTTATAAAATAAAAATTAAAAAAATTAAATGAAGTGTAGCATAAGAATAAATAATAGTAATTCCACCTCATTCTCATTATTCTTATTACTCTCTCTTCCTCTATAAATACGCAATTTCATTGACAGTTCCAACCAAACCTCATTCTCGAGGAGAGTCCACGTCAGCTATCACCCAAGGTTTGTTTGTACTCTTTTTCTTTCTCGGATTTTTTTAGTTCTAAAAATGGCAACAAATTAATGCCAAATTCCAATTAGAGGTAGTTAGTTAGTTAATTAGTTATGGATTAGGCTAATTAATGTTCATTTGTTTTACAGAAGGACAACTCATAAAAAAACATCATGGATTTGTTGTCCCTGTTGGAGGTGGCCTCCATGCCCAATTTACAGGTCCTTCTCATCTGTTTATTGGGAGCTTTCTTAGCCACTGATTACTGCACCCTTTTTCCTCCCCACGCTCGAACCTCTCTCAATAAGGTCATTTTTTATTATTTTTTTTATTTTTCTATTTCAATCTTTATCTCTTCCAAATTTCTCATTTATTTTTAGAACCACAAGTTTCGGTACAGATTCCATTGGTTTCAAAGAAAAATTTATACTTTCTTTTAATTAAAAAATATATTTTAATGTATACTTTTTATTAAAATATATTAATAATATGATATTCAATATACACATCAAGTGAGACAGAAGGGATGAATTGGATTTGGGCAAGGTTGACATGTTGGATGGAATGGGATTTGAGCCCGGTTGGCAGTGGGGACATGAATAAGAAATATAATGTGATAGAAGCCCAAGCCCAAACCACCGCGAGCAAATATTGTTCTCGAAACTTTTTACTTTTGGGTTTCTTCTCAAGATTTTTCAAAAGCATCTATTACGAAGAGGTTTCCATACCCTTATACAAAAATGTTTCGTTTTCCTCTACAGATGTAGGATCTCGCATATAATCTCTGGTCTTGACCCTGTTTAGCTAACGATGATAAATCTTTTGAGTTTAAAATTCGGTTAAATTGACGTATCTAATGACTTCTTTCTTTTTTTTTTTTTTTTTTTTGAGTTTGGCAGATTGTGTTTACTGTTTTCACTCCCTGTCTTATGTTCTCAAATTTAGTGAAAACAGTGACATTTGAAGACATTGTTTCATGGTAAACAGTCTTTTTTTTTTTTTTTTTTTTTGAAGCTAATTCATTGTTAATTAGTGTCATTATATATATGTAAGAAATGAATTGCAGGTGGTTCATGCCAATCAACATTGGTCTTAACTTCCTAATTGGAGGAATTTTGGGATGGATAGTTGTTCAAATCTTGAGACCCGACCCATCCCTTGAAGGCCTCGTCATTGCTGCCTCTTCTGCAGGTTGCTTCTCGTTCATTACTCTTTTAAAATATTATTATCAGCTGAAAATAGAGTCAACCCAATAATTGTATGATTTCATTGTCTATGTATTTTATGAATAAATGGTTTAGTGTCTACAACAAAGTAGAACAGCAGTTTCTACGGAATACCTTATAATCTTTTCTCGATTGAAGAGTGCAAGTATTTCTTCATCTATTATTCATTTCATTTGTGTTCTTCCTTTTAGGCAACTTGGGAAACCTTCTCCTCATCATCATCCCTGCCATCTGCAGTGAGCATGACAACCCTTTTGGTGACCACGACACCTGCACTTCTCTCGGTCTCTCTTACGCTTCCTTTTCCACCGCGGTAAATAATATATCCGCAGTTTAAGTTTCTTTAACATGATATCAGAGCCCCATAATGAATCGGTGAATTTTCAGCTAGGTGGGTTTTACCTCTGGACTTCTACCTACCACCTTGTCAAAACTTCCTCCTTACGATTGAAAGCACTTGAGCAGTTGAAAGCACCCAACCATGGGTCCAATGGCGACCTGCAAACCCACCTTCTCAATGATCAAAATGGAGAACAATCTCACCTTCCTCCTGCTTCAGTCTCATCAACCAAGACCTTCGAACAGGTTCCCCATTTCAAAAATACACCAATTGTTTGCGTTTTGTAGTTTTGTGCCTAACTCCTTTTTGTTGAATACAACTGGTAGAAACACTCGCAACATCCTCGAACAGATTCCCCTTTATATATACTCATATC